CACATAAGGAAGATGATTGGTTGCTCTAGGCATTATGGCCATTTATCATTAGCAAACATTGAATGTATGAGGCCATGTGTTCTCTTCCACGTCTAATGGACAATATACACATCCGTGTTGCTAATAATGGCTAGTCAGAGGTTCGGCTTCTGTGAGTACAGTGTGAAAAATGACGGTGTTTGGAGTATTTTGAAACACTTCCATGTTATAGGACGGTTACATGAAGTGTGTATTTGGTAAAGGTTACCTGTTGCACGCAGCAACCACGGAACCCCCTGCTGTCTATTTTATAGATCAGGATATAAAACAAGTCAACAAACTGGTTGGTTGCTACAGCTATCAAGGGTGTTTATCTTTGATAGACATTAGGCCCTACGTTGCCTTCCAAGTGTAAAGCTCAAGTATAGGTATGTGTTGCCGAAAGCAACCAATTACCACTGTAAATAGACACTAAATATGTCAAGCCTTAAAATTGCACACACCCGCAAAAAAGACCACACCCACAATTGACCATAGGCGACGATTTAAAAGGTTTTACCACTCATCATTTTAGTGTTAACAGTGATTAATGGCCCTAAAATGATTGCTCACACTCTGACGGTCGTGATGATTTGTAACAAGTGCGGCATAATCGGCACAATTGTCGTTTTTGCGTGTTGGCGCGGGGTGGGGAACTTTAAGAGATTTTTTTTTACACTTAACTTTATTGTTATCGCATAGGGGACTAAGAAGCCCCCTATGTGATATCAATTTACAGTGGAAGGTCCTCTTTATGGAGACATCAGGGGTCTCTAAGACCCCTAATGTCACCTAGGGACCCCCAGAGAAGCTGATGAAGCAGAGATCTGCTTCACCAGCTTCTCTCTGGCTTCTGTAGCCAGAGAGTGACAGCTGAATGGGGAAATTATGTAACAAACATCACTTCCGCACTCACAGAACAGAGTGTAGTGATCTCCCTCTGTTCTCGCTGCACGGATCCACAATGCCGGTAACGGACCGGACGCCCGGGATCGCGGTGGCGGCAGCGCCGACGGCAGGTAAGGACAGTAGAGGGGGCCTCGCACACAGAAAGGTACCTCATACAAGCGATCGGGCATCTTTACAGATGCCGGACCGCTTGTATGTAAATAGCCATTGCTGGCTGTTTCCAATTTTAGCAATTTCCCGCTCATGCACGCCAGGGGCCATCCACCCGCTGCCAGAAGGCTCCCATCTGGCCGTTTCTCTACGTTCGGCAGACGGGAGGTGGTTGAGAGACTGTTTAGGTCTATTATATCTTTGGCCGATATCCCTGGCCTGATGGATATGGGGGGCTACTTTAAATAAAGGGGTCCATAGATATCTGACCACTCCCACACAAGCTCCATGCGTTTATCGTCATACACTTTTGCAGTACGTCACTTTTCTTTACACAGACAAAAACGCACGTCTTGCTGGACGTGTTTGGGGTGCCATTAACTGCCATCATCCAATCATGTGCAAACATACTCTACAAAGGGTTTCGAAAAAACAAAAGTGGATACGGAAGTGCCACAACCTAGTGCAATGACTGTGGTGGGAAAAGGCTGGGGGTACAAAGTATTTAACTTACCTGTGAATGGGTGAGCACTTGTTTTGGCAGACCAATGCAGAGGAGAGTGTGGAGCAATGGTGTGGAGAGGTACGGTCGAATCCTTTCTTGCTGGGTGGCGACGAGATGGGCTCGAGTAGAAAGATGGAAATGAAATAGCGGAATAGAAAGGTGAAGCTGGAGGATGAGCACAAGAACAAATGAACTCTCTAATTCACCGGTAGGTGGAAGTAGGAGATCAACGACGGAGGTCTGGTCAGCGTGGTGCTCGGATTGCAGAGGGGTGATCCTCAGGCTGGTGGTTGCTGTCGCAGGGGTCCTAGTGGTTGTCCCTGAACGTAGGAGCCAGAGGGGAAGAGGCAGAAGTCTCTAATCGCAGTTGACATGCTGGCGGCGGCTCATGTGATGAAACTGCATGAGCCGGAGGTAAAGCGTCCTTGTTGCTAAGCGATGTGGTGGAGAGGAGGAGGGGGCAGATATCCACCACACTAGGGCAAGCTTCACGTTGCTGGACAAGCAGATTTGGAGATCCAGGGATCAAACCTGTTTGTCCCAAGTAGCCAGGATGTTAAGCTGCAGTGGCCTGTAGTGAAACTGATCATAGGGAACTGCCTCAAAGGAAGCTACCATCAGGCCCAGAACCTTCATGCAAAATCAAATGAGCGGATACTTCCTGGACCATGGGCACCAAACTTGGGAGCAGAGAGGCAGCATACTCTCCTATAGGAGAAAGACCCTGGCAGGGTCGTGTCCAAGACCAGGCCTATGTACTTCAAGTGATGGGAGGGTTCCAGCACTTATTTCTGAAGGAGAAAATCATCCAAATACTTCATTATAAAAACAATTTATTTTAAACACAAGAACACATGTGACATAAAACATTAAAATACAAAAAACTATACACAGCCCAGTGAACATGCATGAAAAGTGGAAACTAACTACCTATGTATAAAAGAGAAGGAGAATCGAGTAGAGCAGGGTTAGGAAAGAGTGCAAAGTAACAGAACAGCAGCCAGAACAGGTGGCAGGTTCAAGGAGTTACAGATTCAGCATATACAAGAACATAGGCAAAATACTGAGATGGGACTGAAAACCCTCCTAGCAGCCAGCATCACCAGCCAGTGGTGACTAATTGCTGGAAGTTACCTCCTGATTGACATTGGAACTACACCAATCAACTCCAGTGACCAGAGTGCCACCAGCAGATGTTCTAGTCTCTGACAGGACCACTGTTTCCACAGAGAGCAAGGGTTCTTCTCTACAATATACTGACAGTTTTTTCTACTGTTGCTCCCTTTTACAACTTTGCACGCCTTTTGTTTTGATGTACGTGAAATGCTTTTAACTGATTTAAATTGAAAGTTGGGCTTAACCTAATCGCAAACTGTTAAAAGAGGTTCCTTACACAAAGGTAGTTTTCAAAGAATGAATTAACCTTTAATACTGTGTATCCCTTTTATTTTAATAGTTTGTAATACTTAATTTGTTAAAGTCTATGCTATACTTCACTGATCTTCCTGTTATTCATACCTTGTTAACTAAGCTGCTAAATTATTCACAGTCCAGGAACATGTTGTTGTAATTCTGGCATAGATACTATCCTTTATTGTGTTTTTAGTAAACTCACAGATCATACATTGGCCTTTCCTCCATGCATTCTCCTTGAAGTTTTTGAAACAGAACTAGTGTATGAGTCAACCTCACTATAGCTGGCCATACACAGTGAAAATTCGACTAGGGTGGGGCATCCCTCCATTTTTTAATCAACTTTTCTTAATAGAGCCATTATGAAAATTCTTGCTCTAACAGTGACTGCAGCTAATCAGCTAGAATGACTGTTCGGGTATTCTGAGTACTATCAGAATACATTAGCCTGGGAAGAGGTGGGGGTTGTGAGGGAATCAAGCATTTTTTTCTCGTTAGGAGGAAAAATGCACAGTGTATGGCCAGTTTATGCCTACGCAATGATTCATATTTAAGTTTGAGTGGAGTTGGTCTTCAGCATATACACATAGCAATATAAAATATTATAGTTTAAGGCATTAGTATACACAGCACAATAAGTAAAATGTTTACTGAATATAATATTTTAATGTACTGTTAAAGATACCTTAATGAGACATTAAAATTGCAAGTTGCCATCACTGCTTGGCATAAGAACCTCAAATCCTGCAACATATGCAACATACAAGTATGTTTGCCTCAGAAAGCATAAGGCTAAATAGATAAACTATGCACCTGTATTTCACATATTTATAATACTTCAAATAATAAATGTACAGTTAGCATCCTATAAGTAACAGGTTATCAGCTTAAATGATGCTTGTTGAATATGTATCATGTGGTGAAGACAAAAGTAACAGTATTAGGGCTCATATTGATGGGCTCTGTTTTCCTGCATTTTACATGATTTTGGAACACACCTTATATGCAGATCAGTGAAATCCTATTGACTTTAATTGAAGTGTACACATGGCAGTTCAATGGCTGCCTTTGACCTACTTGTGGTGTTTCATTGGACACATGTCCTATTAAGATACATTTAAACTGCAGACAAGGCAGGTCAAGTGCAGCCTTTTCATGTCACATTGTGCGTTTTCCATTGGGAACCAGCTGCATGGGTTTAAATGGAGAATACAGCGTTTGACTAGAACGCCCCTCGACATGAACCCTTAGTTGCTTTGTACATCTTTATACAGAAAGTTGCTAGTCAGACATGATCCACGTATTGCCAGTATAAGGATGACTTTCATCATACACTATGGACTAAAAGCCAAAACCTAAACACTGTCAGGTTCTTGTTACTGTCTGTGTCCCTGTTGGGTAGATTTACTCTGTCAAATTGCCCTAGTCAATAATGTCACCAGGAATGAAAGTGAGGGTAAATCCAAAATTGCGAGTGATGATTTCAATAACAGTAAGATTTTACAAACTGTGTTCTTCAACTACCTTAGTGTATAACATACAAATCATTTGAGCTTTTCAAAACCCATTGTGTCATTTAATGCATACTTTAAACATAAAAGGAATGCTTTTCCAATTATCTTGATCACAGAGCAATATTTGGGGACATCTACATATAGATAATTCCAAATGGAGAATACTGAAGGTATAATAATATGGAAAACCAAGCCTGCACAAGGCTTCCAACCATGCATTGAAAACTTGATGATATTATTGATATCTCATCCCCTACTGAGACTTAATCATAGAATTAACTATGATTAACAACTGTATAATTAAGTCCCAGTAGAGGGCAAAATGAATCATAGGAGAGGAACCAGTGTGATACACCTTATCAATACTATTTTGAATGCTTGGCTGGAAGCAGTTTGCAGCTTGTAATTTTATATTCGCAATAAGGGGGAGGTGACAAAGCCTGAAGCTTGGCCGGCACCCATTGCTGAAATGATTGTTGACATGGATCCATGACTAACTAGGAACAGAGAGAAGCCTTACTTAGTATGACTGTAAATGAAAGGAGGTAGATATACAATGAGTATTTATAACACACTGGACAGATATTATAAGTCAGAATTGTCTCAGTTGATAGAATGCCATGTCATTGTCATACACGCTCTGCAGGTATGAAATCAAAATCTTCGTCAGAATGGCATGGAACTGGAGGCATCCGGTATCGTATATTTTTCCAGAACCTTGTGTTACGAGAAAGCGAAGCTTCCGTAAATGTATCCTTCCATCGGACAACACCTTGTTTCTGTCTGATATATTTAATGGACTCTGGCACGAACGTGTAATCTGTTATTTTTTCCATCTCGATCAATATTACTTTTGTTTTATTCCGTATTAAAGCATCATACATGGCAATTTTTTGCTCAAAGTCTTCTCCAAAATTAGTTTGATTAGAAACTTGTCCTAGGACAATGATCAGTCTTCTACTTTGTGAAATGGCCTTATCGACGAGGTCTGCCATTGCTGTAATCACATAAAAAGGGGCTTTATTTATATAAAGATGAAAACATTAAAATAATGAACATAACAATTTAAACAAACATTGCTTACGATTATGGTTTTCCTAATAAAGATTTTAATGTCATTCAGATTACTCATCAGACTGGGCAATTTTAGACGGCTGATAACTGTGCACAATACACAGTACATGCTGCATATGTGTTCAACATGCGCTCAAAGCATATCATGCTAATGTGTGATTCTGGAACTAAAATTGCTGAACAAAATATATAGTGCAAATATGTTTTATATCATTAGCTTATTGGCAAGGGAACCAATTTACAAAGGAGTGAGTGGCATAGCTTTGCTTTTTAAAGATATAATTTCCCTGCAAATTTATAATGGCCAGGGCTGTGCTTTACAAATCTACTTTTCACTATTTTTTTGCTTTGGGACTCTGCCGCAATTATTTTAATAAATGGGGGGGGGGAAAAAAATGTCTGGAGGAGGAGGAAACCAGTCACATGACCTAGACAGGTTCTGTGAACTGTCTTTCCTCCTTTCACAGAGTATTCTTGAACTTGAAGATACTTGCCTTGCCCAGGTAAATCATCTCTTCCAATAATAAATAGTCGATAAGCACACTTGGTTTCAAGAACTTCAGGAAGCAACTTAAGCACAAATAAGTCCATATCATATGCAGAGTTTCCTATGGCATTTCTTGGATACATAATGTAGGCATCGTATATCTTGCCATCTGCAAATAGAATGTAACAACCTCAATGAATTAAGTTTTATAGACTGTATTCCAAATCCCAATCCCTTGAAGAGGATTTTCAATTTCTAATAAACTTGTTTCCACTTCTCCTCCCCTTAGTTAAAGTGACAGTCAAAAATCTAAAAACAAATTTGAAATACATTTATAATGAACTTTTTCAGCTGTCAATGGATTTGTGTCCAACACAACCAGTCATGTGATGCAACACCTCTATCAAACTTCACAGACTCCACTACAGTATGTCCTGTTTTACCTTTGCTAATTAATATGTCACCTGTGTACAATGAAGTAGCATCACAGTGTGGTAGCATCATCCTGGATAAAAGTGGGGGTGTGTAAGCTCTATTTGGAGGTAAAAGAATGTGTACATATGTGTCCCAACTGCATATTTATTTGTTTGGCTAGAGTTTCAAGTTCGAAAAGTAGAACAAAAACTTCCACCACGTTTATACTATGTTGTTACTCTTTTTACTTAGTCATGTCATCTTTGCTTTGACATGAAAAAAATGTATGATTAGGCCAAGACAAGAGAAGGACACATCTGAGAAAGGATTAAAGAAAATAAGGGGGTGACGCAGTGTGAAAACTATCATTTTGCCTGAAGTGTGGCTTTAAATTTCCTGGTGGATAAAGAATGTAGTTTATATGCAGTTGCTGCATTTTTTAAAGCACCTTCTGCTCCTTTTTTCATTGCTGAATACCTGTCAGCACTTAACATCACAAACAGCATAGTGGATTCATGGAGAATGCTGGGCCAATTTACTTTTTAATGATCCATCCATGAAAAGCAAATTCCTGTTCACTTTGAATACCCAAACATGTGCAGATGAAATAAGTAGAACCGGAATTTACTTTTCACGTGATTGGATAATTGATGCAACTATTCACACAATTTATTGTGTCAAAAGTCTCAACTCCTTTAGTAAATTATTCTCATTAAGTGGATCATTATTATTTGTATCATTCCTTATATATTGGTCCCTGCTATTGCCGGCAGAAGCACTGTCTCCTGATTCTCCAGTATAAAAACGTACCATTTTGGTGTGGATGGGAAAAACGGGAACTCCTGTACCATAAAACGATGTCAACTTTAAAAACTTTAATGATGATGATGGTGGTAACAGTACAAAATGCTGCTGTCACAAAGAATGCAATCAAGAATCCCTGCCAATTATGACCTATGGAAATTAATAAAATACATAATCAGATACTCTTCATTGTTTGAAAAGACATACAGCATTGACAGAACTGCTATGTTTAACAAATGTTAAAAAGTATAAAAAATGGACATTCCCACCAGGCATGCAGCCTAACCACTTCAAGTGATGGATTAACGAGGAACTTTAAATAATTTTTTTTTTTAAAAGGGATCCACACATATGATAGATGTATTAACAAAGTTTACATGATTTCCCTCTGAAATATTTTGGATGTGCCAAATTCTCTACTTCTTCAATATAACTAAAGAAGTGACTGATGAAATCAGCACAATGACATCCTTTGACAATTGGTAAAAGAGGAGATATCTCTTCATTATCCTAAAAATTCAATTTAGTATTGGACAACCTACCTAACATGAAGACATGGGAACTAGATCTGGAAAACTAAATGTGGAAAACTGGGGCAAATGGAGCCAATGTGAACATAAAGAAATAATCAACATATCTATTAGTAAAGCAAATGATAAAGTCTTAGTCAGATGGTACCTAGTGCCAACCAAATTGTTTTAGAGAGTGTGGCAAATAGAGGATCCATGTACCCTACCTGGTGGGCTTGTCCCAAAGTCAAATGGTTTTGGACCAGAATATAAACTTATTTAAACTATAATCAACATCAACTTAACTAAGGATCCTTATAGAGCCAAGTAGCTGGAATTTCCAAAACCGTCTTAGGCTCCCATCTTCTGTATTATTTTTAGCAGCTAAAATATGGCAAGATCCTGTAAATCTCCCAGAGTGAACCTAGACATCTCCTAGAGTGAACTTAGAGCCCACTAAAGCCAAATTATCATAGATCAATAATCTTTTTTATCTCCTTATTCTGTCTTCTCTTCACTTTCTAACTCCTCTCTAAGTCTGAGTTTACCAGTTAGTTTCTTACACTTCTAAAATTCTGGAAGTAACTTCCAGCTTTCCAAAATGTATATAGGGAACAGGTACAGCTATATGTCTATTCTTACTCATCAGTAATAGTATTAGTGATACTTGATATTCAGACATATTGAAAATTGTTTTCAATTCCACTAGACAGAATGTAATATTTATGTGCAATAATGAAACTGCTGAGATATACATATTCAGAGCTAAACTCCAGTCAAACAGCTTAATATACAGATAAAATACAAATAAATACATTTAATGATGTATTAATAAATACAGAACTGCATTTATTTGTATCCATTATATCTGTCTATAGTTCAGTGTTCATTTTTGGTTGTACTCATAGTTACATAGTTACATAGTATTTGAGGTTGAAAAAAAAGACCTAAGTCCATCAAGTCCAACCTATACTCGATTTTACACTTTTTAGCAAAAGTCCTAAGAGCAGAAAGCAGTTTAATACCTTTATCCCTCCCTTTTAGATTGTAAGCCCTCGCAGGCAGGGCCCTTCTTACCATCTCGTCTTGAATTGTATTGTAATTGTAAAGCACTGCGCAAACTGTTGGCGCTATATAAATCCTGTTTAATAATAATAATTAACCAGTAGAGACTCTTCTGTGCCCTTCTGTGATTTAGTATTATTTTATGACAAGAGTCTGGCTCTCCCTGACTTCATGGATAAGCTCTGCCTTCTGCCACCTCCTTGTTCAATCACTCTCTCGTCTTTAAATATCTTCTAATACTTATCGAATTACTTTATTAAAGTTTTAACATTATAATTGACAATTATAAGGCAGTTACTATATGTGAAAACACCTAATGTTCGTGTCCTCCTATTATATCGTGAATAATTAGTGGAAACAATATATCATTTATAAAGAAAGTGATGGTGTTCGTGTCATAAAATGTTGTTTAAACAATAAATTCAGTGACATTAGATATCATAAAAATGTCTTTAGTTTAGTGAAACTATGTATCAATAATCTGTGATAGCATTTGTGATATAAAGATTCTGAAAAGAAAATTAAAAGACAATAAACTTAACCTATCTGTTGTTGAGTGTTTTGTTCCATCACTATATTTATGATGTGAAAAATTCAACGGTAAAAGAAAAATGAATATCAGATAAATGTGATCTTTGGTATAACTGTATACATATAGTCAAATTGTGATTTTTGTGACAATTAGTTTGATAGATCGCAACAATCGATAAATGTAAAAAAGTTAATCAGCTAATCAGATTTGCGACAAAAAGTAATGGCCAAAGTGAATAAAGCTCTTTTTATATATTCTAGATAACAAACAATATATATCAGACCATATTCAATCGTTATCATGGGCTACTTTATACCGGCCATAATCAACAGTTCGCATCAAAAACCAGCTAGTACAGAATGTAGTCGACCCCCCCAAGAAAACCTTTTCGTTTTTCGATGGGAAAGGTTTCTTCCCATGTGGAAAATGCATAGGGTGTACAGTAACTGGGAAGAAAAGGAAAATACTAGATTTCCAATCCAACTTTAACAATAGGAACTTTAAAATAAGAGATTTTATCTCCTGCAAAAGCACACATGTTACCTACATGTTAGAATGCCCATGTGGACTCCAGTACATAGGGAGAACCACAAGAGAACTCAAAATCAGGATAAGGGAGCATATTAATAACATTAAGAAGGGAAAAGTAGACCATAGTGTGCCAAGACATTTTAAAGAAAAACATGGATGTAATCCTAAGGGATTAAAATTTATAGGGTTGGACAAAATAAAAAAAACACTGGAGAGGGAATCACATGAAAAGGGAGGTCTCTAAGAATGAAACAAAATGGATCTTCCTCATGGAGACTATGACCCCAAAAGGCTTAAATGTAGAACTAGATTTAAATTGCTTCCTGGCTGACGATTAAACTACATTAAAGCGAGACATTGAACTCACAGAATTGGTAGCCCAATCTGTAATTGATCAGTCTTTTAAGGACCAGTCTATGGAGTTAATTATAATACACCTACCTAGACTACTACCAATATATATATAGGTCCCGTATTGCGACTATCCCCTCATATTTTATATCTCTCATATATATATATATTTATATATTTTATATATTGTATATATCTCTCATATATATTTTTTCTTTTTTTCTTTTTTTAACATGTTTTCTTTTTTTAACATGTTTTATCAAATAAATATCTAGATATCATTAACAAAGTACATTAATATCGAACATTTCAACTAGAGACATCCCCTCTAGGGATACGGTGTAATACGAGTATTCCTTATGCTAGAACCCCAACATTTAGTAGTTAGGAATGACTGAGGGTATTACTGTAAAAATGTTAAGTGCCCAAGTGTGAGAGATCTAACTAGGACAAACAAAACAATACAAATATGTATATTGCTATGAGGATCATATATATCTGGCGCATTGCCTTAATAGTTCATCTAAACCATGTACTAGACCTGATTCTAATTGACTTTTTATCAACCTTTTATACATTTTTTATCTAGTTTAAGTTATAAAGTCACTGATTTCATATTTAACTGGGGCACCCGTCATCGATTTTTAACCCCAATAAAATCAACTAACCCTTATTAAACTTTATGTGGAATCACCAAAATAAGATGTCCACTAGTGGGCTAATTTTTTTCTATTCTATTTTCATGCGTGGTTAGTGTATAAGAACGCAGGGTAGTCCTTAATGAACACAAGTAACCACTCCGATCTAATATAATTAGCCTTAGTAACGGGTAACCACATACCCCCAGTTTAAAAGCATTTCACATCATTTGTAAAACTGTCTGATTATAACTACCCCATATAATCAGGTTTGATAGTATTTTTCACCACTATTTTTAACATTGATTGAATACTATGCCATATAATGAATATTTATACTTATTAATTGATAATTTGCTAAATTTAAATACATATTTTATTAGTCGTCCGGTGTCAGACAGGAAACAGCACCCTTTTGAAAAAATCTACAAACGACGAAACACTTTACGGGTATCCACCGCTTCCTTGCTGACATACCGGAAAAGATTTACTAGGCTGAGTGTCCTTCACACTCATACGCTTTTTATCCAACAAATCCTGTATGTGTGATCACTTTTTACCATTAATAAAGAACCTTGCTGCTGCACTGAGATCTGTTTTTTTCTCTCTTGTATTTTCCCTTTTTTTCTCCTGGGCTGGACACTCCAGTTTTGCTTCTAACCACACCTGGAGGGTGTTCAACGCCGCAACCGAGATCGAGTGCTGGCTGACCGTAGGAGAGGGGAGAGAGACGTTAATAGATGTTATGTGGATTCACTGATGGAACTAAAGTAATAGACATCTGCTTACTACTTTCCTTGTTTGAAAGAACTCTGCCTATCCTCAAATTCGTTCTACATAAGAACATTGTGAACTGTCGATTAAGGCCGATATAAAGTAGCCCATGATAACGATTGAATATGGTCTGATATATATTGTTTGTTATCTAGAATATATAAAAAGAGCTTTATTCACTTTGGCCATTACTTTTTGTCGCAAATCTGATTAGCTGATTAACTTTTTTACATTTATCGATTGTTGCGATCTATCAAACTAATTGTCACAAAAATCACAATTTGACTATATATATATACAGTTATACCAAAGATCACATTTATCTGATATTCATTTTTCTTTTACCGTTGAATTTTTCACATCATAAATATAGTGATGGAACAAAACACTCAACAACAGATAGGTTAAGTTTATTGTCTTTTAATTTTCTTTTCAGAATCTTTATATCACAAATGCTATCACAGATTATTGATACATAGTTTCACTAAACTAAAGACATTTTTATGATATCTAATGTCACTGAATTTATTGTTTAAACAACATTTTATGACACGAACACCATCACTTTCTTTATAAATGATATATTGTTTCCACTAATTATTCACGATATAATAGGAGGACACGAACATTAGGGGGAATATTTAATATTTAACAGTTAATACTAAGCGCAACATATTGGCTCACATTGATCACGTTTATACACATTGTTGCAGCTCGTGACCTAATACTTTATCCTAGCGCAACTGAATTGGTGAAAATACGTGAAAACACACCTGGTTGTTTCAGTATGAAATACGCCCGAGTATATTCTGGGAAAGACCTGACGTTACAGTAAACCACTATACCATAGTCTTCTTCTTTGATACTTGAAAAGGTTAAATTTTGGCATATCATCTTGTCTCCATGTTCGTTGACTGAATCACTATTAGAAGAGAGATCACATTATTATTAGCTCCAATACAAATCCTCCTCCTTTAGATACAAGGTAATAGTTAGGGCATACACATTTTACAATTTGTCCGCTAAGATAAAAAGATTTGACGTTCAACATTTTTATAGCATCAGCTGCTGTTGCTTGTCCCTAATTTCTGTAAACCTGCAAGTCGTTTGTGACTTTCATTTCTTGTACTGAGCACCATGCCTCTTATTCCAACTGCTGACCAGTGCATGGTGTGGTTCTATGTATTCTGTACATTAACCCTTTCACTGGCAGGCCCTGTGCTCCACTTTTCACCTCAGGTGGCCAGAACATGCCTACAATTTTTCACTTTTTCATCATTTTAAACTTACACCTTTCAGAGTTTGTAAAAGACCCACCAAACCATACAACTTCTGAAAGCACAAGACTAATAAAAAAAGATGGTGCTACTGAAATTTTTAGGTCCTGTGATAGTTGCATGAATGCACTCTCTGCGTAACCTCTTTCTGACCGCTGAACTCTGTGCGTTACCTCTTTCTGACCGCTGCACTCTGTGCGTTACCTCCTGAACGCTGCACTCTGTGCGTTACCTCCTGAACGCTGCACTCTCTGTGTTACCTTCTGACCGCTGCACTCTCTGCATTACCTCCTGACTTCTTGTGTTACCTCCTGATCTTTACATTCTGTGCGTTACCTCTTTCTGACCGCTACACTCTGCGTGTTACCTCCCGACCGCTGCACTCTTTGCGTTACCTCCCGACCGCTGCACTCTTTGCGTTACCTCCTGACCACTGCACTCTTTGCGTTACCTCCTGACCACTGCACTCTCTGCGTTACCTCCTGACTTCTTGCGTTACCTCCTGACCTTTACATTCTGTGTGTTACCTCTTTCTGACCGCTGTACTCTCTGCGTTACCTCCCAACCGCTGCACTCTTTGCGTTACCTCCTGACCGCTGCACTCTTTGCGTTACCTCCTGACTGCTGCACTCTTTGCATTATCTCCTGACTGCTGCACTCTCTGCATTACCTCCTGACCGCTGCACTCTCTGCATTACCACCTGACCTCTGCACTCTCTGCATTACCTCCTGACCGCTGCACTCTCTGTGTTACCTCCTGACCGCTGCACTCTCTGACTTACCTCCTGACCGATGCGCTCTCTGCGTTACCTCCTGACCGCTGCACTCTCTGCGTTACCTCCTGACCGCTGAACTCTCTGCGTTACCTCCTGACCGCTGCATTCTCTGCGTTATCTCCTGACCTCTGCACTCTTTGCGTTATCTCCTGACTGCTGCACTCTCTGCGTTACCTCCTGACCGCTGCACTCTCTGCGTTACTCACTCTCTGTGTTACCTCCTGACCGCTGCACTCTCTGACTTACCTCCTGACCGATGCTCTCTCTGCGTTACCTCCTGACCGCTGCACTCTCTGCGTTACCTCCTGACCGCTGAACTCTCTGCGTTACCTCCTGACCGCTGCATTCTCTGCGTTATCTCCTGACCTCTGCACTCTTTGCGTTATCTCCTGACTGCTGCACTCTCTGCGTTACCTCCTGACCGCTGCACTCTCTGCGTTACCTCCTGACCTTTACATTTTGTGCGTTACCTCTTTCTGACCGCTGCACTCTCTGCATTACCTCCTGAGCGTTGCACTCTCTGCGTTATGTCCTGACCGCTGGACTCTCTGCCTTACCTCCTGACTGCTGCACTCTTTGCGTTACCTCCTGACCGCTGCACTCTTTGCGTTACCTCCTGACCTCTGCACTCTCTGCGTTACCTCCTGACCTCTGCACTCTTTGCGTTACCTCCTGGCCGCTGCAGTCTTTGCGTTACCTCCTGACCGCTGCACACTTTGCGTTACCTCCTGACCGCTGCACTCTCGGCGTTACCTCCTGACCGCTGCACTCTCTGCGTAACCTCCTGACCGCTGCACTCTCTGTGTTACCTCCTGACCTCTGCACTCTCTGCGTTACCTCCTGACCACTGAACCCTTTGCGTTACCTCCTGACCGTTGCACTCTTTGCGTTACCTCCTGACCGCTGCACTCTTTGCGTTACCTCCTGACCGCTGCACTCTTTGCGTTACCTCCTGACCGCTGCACTCTCTGCGTTACCTCCTGACCTTTACATTCTGTGTGTTACCTCTTTCTGACCCCTGCACTCTTTGCGTTACCTCCTGACTGCTGCACTCTTTGCGTTACCTCCTGGCCGCAGAACTCGCTGTGTTACCTCCTGACCGCTGCACTATCTGCGTTACCTCCTGACCACTGCACTCTTTGCGTTACCTCCTGACCGCTGCACTCTCTGCGCTACCTCCGGACCGCTGCGCACTTTGCATTACCTCCTGACCTTTACATTCTGTGCGTTACCTCTTTCTGACCCCTGCACTCTTTGCGTTACCTCCTGGCCGCAGCACTCTCTGCGTTACCTCCTGACCGCTGCACTCTCTGCGTTAAATCCTGACCGCTGCACTCTTTGCGTTACCTCCTGACCGCTGCACACTTTGCGTTACCTCCTGACCTTTACATTCTGTGTGTTTTCTCTTTCTGACCGCTGCACTCTCTGCGTTACCTCCTGACCGCTGCACTCTTTGCGTTACCACCTGACCGCTGCACTCTTTGCGCTCCCTCCTGACCGCTGCACTCTTTGCGCTTCCTCCTGACCGCTGCACTCTTTGCATTACCTCCTGACCGCTGCGCTCTCTGCGTTACCTCTTTCTGACCGCTGCAGTCTGTGCATTACCTCCTGACCTCTGCACTTTGTATGTCTCTTACTACTGACTGCACTATGTGCGTTACTTACTGACCTCTGGACTCTGTATGTTAGTTCCTTCTGAATTCTGCACTCTGTGCATCACTTCCTGCAGACCGATGCACTCTGTGTGTTAGTTCCTTCTGACCGTTGCACCCTGTGTTTTTTTACTACTGACCTCTGCGCGTTATTTACTACTGACATCTGCACTCTGTGCGTTACTTCCTTAGGGTCAGGGTTTTGTGTATAGTTATTTGTAGAATTAGATATGAAACAGAAATGAAATTCTAGCTCTAGGAGCTGTGAATTCCTGGCTGTTGGGAATAAAGGCTAGTCTTAAAATATGTAATTGATACAGTTAACTTTTTATTATCGTTTGCATTTTTTTTCATTATGGCTTGCAAGTGGGGGCCTCACGTTTGAGTTTCGCCTAAGGCCTCACAAAGTTTAGAGCCGCCTCTGTGTGACAGCTATTCATTCAATCAGAAGATTCTAGGAGATGCTTCTCCCATAGGTGCATGGTTGCTGAAGCTTTTAGCAAAAGGGAATGCAACCAACATATAAGGCATACTGGCCTGGCCAGCTGGAGGAGGCTCTGTTCCAACTTATGCCTTACATCAGTGGCAGGGAAAGGGTTAAATGCTATTTAAATGTATGTATAATAATATTGAGCCCATTAACAGACACTGTAGGTAGTCCTCTCAGCTGAATACAAAGAACAGCTTGCATGCACTTACCTTTATATAAAAAGTAATGGAACAAATGGCTTAATGTGTATAGATATAGAACATTGGGTTTGATTTACAAAAAATTTAGCTACTGTTTACATAGTGAATAAGGTGAAACCGTGTTCACTTCAACCATCCAATTATTTGCAAGAAAAACAGCTGTAGCGTTGGCTGATCCTTCGGCTCTCTTCGGCTGCCTCTGCCCTTCGGTTCAGTCAAACCGAAGGGCTGCTGTACGGGCTGTGAGGGGAATCTCAGTCTGTCCAAAGTCATTCTATGGGGACAGACATACATTACTTTCACTTGGAAATTGAGAGAGAATGTTTCGGTATTCTATGTGAATGGGAACACATAACATACATATAGAGGGGTTTTCTCAAATTTGACTGTAAAAGTGGAAATACACTTTCGTTGCCACTGTCGTATGTGGACTCCCGGTGGTTATACAATGGAAAATATTCTGCCCTGCCACCCGAAACCCCTGCCTTATTTCCCGGGCTCTGCTGCCCCTCCTGCGGGCCGTTCGCTGATCTCCCCGCTGAATGGGGCAGGGAGCTATGCTGATTGCATCACTTCCGGTCCCGTAGCTGTCATTGCTCAGTTCCTGCACGATCTGCACTCCAATGGCTTATTTAGAGTGGAAAGGTGACACTAGGGGGCTTTTGGACCCCTAGTGTCACCTTAAAGAGTACCTGTCACTACTATGTCCCCATCCCCATGAGCACGCACGCATTAACACAAACACACATTGGGCGTGCCTATGTACAAAAACGACGATCATGCTGTTGGGTATCGATGCGCACGCCAGAGTGAGGCCAGTAATTCTAGGGCCAATATTCATGGATATCACTAAACCAATGACCTGTATGGGGCTTTCAAAGTGTCGCCTATGGACAATTTGGGGTATCATATTTGTCGTTGTTTCACAGACGCATGCAATTTTATACCTGGGCATGCTGGGTATGTATTTATTTGATTTAACCTCATATTTTATATTTTACCAAAACAATGTGTATTATATTGTGGTTTTGGGCACTAAAGTGAACTGAAGAGCATTTGTTACTACATTTTTGGGTTTAATAAAGCTAAAATTGTGCAACGTACAAATTTGCAACTGCCACCATTTTATTTTACAGGGTCTTTGCTTTTAGAAAATGTGGATTATAACATAAACATAATAAAAAGAAAAAAGGGGCCTTGGCAGCGAAAGGCTTAAAGCCACCCGATTCACTATTATTATACAGTTTGAAGCTGGTTCTACAACGTGTGAACAAACTGTGGCTGCTACTGCAACTTAATATCGCAGCAGTATATCCTGATACTGCCGCACTACAATACTTACAGCAACAGCACTAAAAGGGTTAAAACTGTGCAGTACAATCAATGCTTTTGTGAACAGCTGATATTTAAAATGTACTAAGAGAATTACATAGGCTGTCATTGCTACCCTCATTGTGAAAATGGTAATCTCCTATCTATCTCCACCCACAATACCCTCTTAATCACTCAACAAGTATGCAGCTAGTGAAATGAGAGGAAAGTTAAAACTCCTGATCTGAAAACTGGTTCTAGTTTACTGGCATAACATGTAGACATTTTGGATTGGCATAAAAGCCAGAAAACTAGAGTTTTCAAAAGGAGAGTTTAGCCTGATCAAGGTTTGTGCAGCACACAAAAGCTCACACAAACCACGACCCCCTTCCCGAAATAAAACCAGTTCGTCTTGCAACTGTCTGAACTGCCAGATTATCAGATTTGGCAGATTTCACAGCCAGGGACACATTTATATCTTAGCAGCTAACAGACACTGCATTTGTTCTTACCTGGTAAGAAGAAAAGCTAATGGACACTTCCAGTAGTATCTCATAGATGCCAATTTAATAATTTTTGTCTATTACCTGACAAATGCAGCAACCGGACCATTCCACAATATGCTAACTGCAGCCTGATTCTTGGTAAGAGTTCATGTAACAGAGTAGAGCACCCAGAGGTCCTCAACCAGGTTTCCAACATTCAAATAATGAACCAGGTATTGTGAATGTGTAAGTTAAAAAGGAACATATTTCCTATAATGCAAGAATAACATATTATGTGATACTTTGATACTTACTATGTTTGTCCCTCTGTTACTCTTCCATCTTGAAAAAAGTCATTAATATAGGACTCATTGAACGTCCAGTACAAGGTACCGTGTTCACTATATAGAGCTGCACAGGTTACAGTAAAAGGAGCACCTAAAAAGAATAAATAAAAAAATGACCACCACAAGGTAAATAAATAACTGAAGAATCTAGCTGCAAAAGAATTACACCTTTGCTATGACCTTCTGGGAGGTGGCAGAGAAACAAACTATTGCAGGCAAAGTTTGTCCCTGTAGTGTTCTAGATATACAAGGTGCTGTTGGATGAGTCAACTCCCTGGTGGAAATCCTAATATAAAACCACACTTTTGGGTGATGCTGACCTTTGATATCAAAGTACATAGAGAAGAGACATGTGATAACCCACAATCAACCATCAAATAACATCCTTTAGGAGCTTAGTGTAGTTTTCCAAATGAAAGCCAGTATCTGAAATTGTTCACATTAGTGTTGGGAAGACACTGCTTCCCAACACATAGGCCCTAAGTTGGCCCATTACATCAAGGTTCTCTGAAATCCACCAATCACAGAGAAGACAGGCCATGTGGGGAAATGCTTACAGAAAATTAACAACATCCCCTTAGAGTGACACTAAACTCAGGAGTTAAAGCTTAAAAATGTATTCAAGTACCTTAACTATTAACAAAAATGTATCTTGTTTGTGTATCACTCAACTACAGATCCTCAAATCAACTTTGAATTGATGCTGACACCATTGAAATTATAGTCTATCATGGGAGCGAGCTTGGAGTGGTGGCTACTTTACAACACACACAGGGACCATGGGGAACAAAAGTAGCCACCCTCCAGAAGGAAGGACAGTGTCAGCACCAATTCAGAGAGGATTTGAGGATCTACAGCCGAGTGATACACAAATAAGATACACTTTTGTTAATAGTTAAGGTACTTGAATGTATCTTTAAGATTTAACGCCTGAGTTTAATGTCACTTTAAAGATGTCCTTACAAACCCCTGTGGTAAGTATTAGTATGTCCCCTATAAGAAAGGCGCTAGGGTACTACTAGCATCTTTTCTAGTAGGCCTATGGCTCCATTCATGTCTAGGGGAGTTACAGAATGGACCAAGTGACAGACTCTCTTTAAGTTGAAGTCCAGGCAAATATGTTCTTAACCCTTTTAATGGGGCTACCCCTGCACTGCACAGGTTAGGTGCTAATTTTTGTCTAGGCGCTAAAAAAAGTTATACTCACCCAAGCCGGCTTGCTCTTAGACCGGTCCCCAAAGCCTCTCTCCCCATCCACTGCAGTGCTCTAAGGATCCTTGAGTCACCACATTCTATACACAGTGTTTAGGACGTGAGGACGCCGAGAAACATACCATTGCTGCAGTGAAGGAGGAGACAGGCTTCAGGGACCATTCTAAGAGCAAGCCGGCTCCGCGGTTCGGGTGAGCATAACTTTGTTTTAGCACCTAGACAAAAATGAGTACTTAACCCTTGGAGTGCAAGAGTTGCCCACAGTTCTGGTTTGATCTCCTACAGCTATAAGGCTATCAATATACAAATGTCAAAAGCTCTTACTTACCTAACTCCACCTCTATGAAGTTACCGGTTGGATATGATATAATGGGCTTTATCACAAGTGGCATTGCTGAAAGAAAAAAAAGAATACTATTACATATAGTGAATTCTAGATACTGGAATTTATTTTTATACCTACAATATCACTGAACAGTAAGCTCACAAGACAAACAGAAGGTGCTCTACCTCCTTCCTTCAATGCAGTTCCACAGAACATTGGTGCACAGCCAAGGCTTACACCAGCTCTTCGTCATAAACAGTGAAAAAAGTGTTTGCACACTGTTCTTGGTCCAGTTAAAATTTTCTTTATTTATTCAAGGCATAAAACCAGACATAGCAGTCCTGCTAAAGCTTTTCAGCTAAAAGAGGCCTTAATCATTGCTGTGCATGCCATGATTAAGGCTGCTTTTGCCTGAAACATGTTATTGAGACTGCTATGTCTGGTTTGATGTCTTGCATAAATAAAAAAGATTTTACCTGGATCTAGACACTTTTTTCCACTGTACCCTAAACATTAAATGTAAAATATTGAATATAAAATGTTATATGCAAAGTGACAATAAACTCAAGAGCTGAATCTTAAAACTGCATTCAAGTACCTTAGCTATAAACAAAAATGTATCTTTTCTGTGTATCACTCGGCTGATGATCCTAAAATCATCTCTGAATTTGTGCTGACACTGTTCTTTCCAAGCTAACTCCTGTCATGGACTACAATCTCATGTTTAGTGTACAAACATGTATTAAGATTGTAGTCCATCACAGGAGCGAGCTTGGAGCGGTGGCTACTTTACAACACACAGGGACAATGTGGAACAAAAGTAGCCACCCTCCAGAAGGAAGGACAGTGCCAGCACCATTTCAGAGATGATTTGAGGATCTACAGCTGAGTGATACATAAGCAACATCATTGTTAATAGTTAGGGTAATTGAATGCATTTTTAAGATTTAACTCCTGAATTAAGTATCAGTTTAGGTCTATAGGCTGTTTCAAATACCATTTTAAGATAACAATGAAGCACCAGCATTTACTTATGGAATTACTGGACAAAAAGTGTGTTGGCATATCAGGCCTTGGTATAGTCGCCCAAAACATTCATCCACCAACAACAGAGAGTATCACTATAGTTAGCAGCAAAATCTCTTCCTAAAAGGTGGCCGCACCTCATCAGGGAAACTTTACTGATCAGCCAATCTAAAAAAAAAAAATCAGAGAGCACCTTCCCTTGTGTAGTGACACTTTACTGATAAAGAACAAAAAGCAAAACACATACTCATAAAATCTTGTGAAGAGAAAGCCCTGTACATATAGTATCTCACAGAAGTGAGTACACGCCTCACATTTTTGTAAATATTTTATTACATCTTTTCATGTGACCACACAGAAGAAATGACACTTTGTAGTAGTGAGTGTACAGCTTGTATATCAGTGTACATTAGCTGTCCCCTCAAAATAACTAAACACACAGCCATTAATGTCTACGGCTGGGTTCACACCTGAGCGTATTTTTTCCGTTCAGTGAAACGCGCGTTTCACTGGCGGTATGATTTTTTTTTTTTTTTTTTACACTTTTTTTTACAATAGAGTATTTTCTCTATTTAAATTTTTGTTTTTTTAGACTTTTACATTTCCCACCGGCTCCGCCCCCATGCGACGCGGCCGCTCACAAGGGACGGAACCTGGAAGTCAGCAGCCGCCGGAGGACACAGTTGGGATCACGGACAAGGTAAGACCTGTACGCTGTATTCCCGAGTGTGGCTCGGGGTTACCGCTTTGTTAACCCCAAATCCACACTCGGGAAGACCAATGGAAACGCGCGGAAAAACGCCCCAATGAAGCTCCTGTACTTCTTTGGGCGTACAGCGTTTTTCAGCACGTTCCTACGCGCTGTAAAACGCACATGTTGAGCGTTTTACAGCACGTAGGAACGCGCTGTAAGACGCCTAGGTGTGAACCAGGCCTAAACCGCTGGCAACAATAGTGAGTACACCCCTAAGTGAAAATGTCCAAATTGGGCCCAATTAGTCATTTCCCCTCCCTGGTGTCATGTGACTCGTTAGTGTTACAAGGTCTTAGGTGTGAATGGCGAGCAGGTGTGTTAAATTTGGTGTTATCGCTCTCACTCTCTCATACTGGTCACTGGAAGTTCAACATGGCACCTCATGCTAAAGTACTCTCTGAGGATCTGAAAAAAAGAATTGTTGCTCTACATAAAGATGGCCTTGGCTATAAGAAGATTGCCAAGACCCTGAAACTGAGCTGCAGCACGGTGGCCAAGACCATACAGAGGTTTAACAGGACAGGTTCCACTCAGAACAGGCCTCGCCATGGTTGACCAAAGAAGTTGAGTGCACGTGCTCAGCATCATATCCAGAGGTTGTCTTTGGGAAATAGACGTATGAGTGCTGCCAGCATTGCTGCAGAGGTTGAAGGGGTGGGGGGGTCAGCCCGTCAGTGCTCAGACCATGCGCTGAACACTGCATCAAATTGGTCTGCATGGCTGTCGTCCCAGAAGGAAGCCTCTTCTAAAGATGATGCAAAAGAAAGCCTGCAAACAGTTTGCTGAAGACAAGCAGACTAAGGACATGGATTACTGGAACCATGTTCTGTGGTCTGATGAGACCAAGATAAACTTATTTGGTTCAGATGGTGTCAAGCATGTGTGGCGGCAACCAGGTGAGGAGTCCAAAGGCAAGTGTGTTTCGCCTACAGTCAAGCATGGTGGTGGGAGTGTCATGTTCTGGGGCTGCATGAGTGCTGTCGGCACTGGGGAGATACAGTTCATTGAGGGAACCATGAATGCCAACATGTACTGTGACATACTGAAGCAGAGCATGATCCCCTCCCTTCGGAGACTGGGCCGCAGGGCAGTATTCCAACATGATAACGACCCCAAACACACCTCCAAGACGACCACTGCCTTGCTAAAGAAGCTGAGGGTAAAGGTGATGGACTGGCCAAGCATGTCTCCAGACCTAAACCCTATTGAGCATCTGTGGGGCATCCTCAAACGGAAGGTGGAGGAGCGCAAGGTCTCTAACATCCACCAGCTCCTTGATGAGCATGTTTGGCCGACCCAAAGGCAGCCGAAGCAAGCCGCTGTATGGCTGATTTCAGCCCATGTACAGCTGAAATCAGCTCTACAAGCCTGAAGTGAATAGCCGAACAACGTTCGGCTCACTTCGGGGCGGCCTTCAGCAGCTTTGTGAAAAACCCTCATACTGTTTTACCTTCTAGAAGACTCCTGTTCACCTATTCTTTTGATTCACCTCTGCTGCACTGAATAGCCCGGAGGAACATTTTATTGCTTCCTGGTTCACATTTTCTGTTAAATGTTTGTGCACCATCCATGGCTAGGTTGCAGGTGCACAAACCAGAAAAAGCTGAAGGGAGCAAGAGCACAGTGCACAGCACAGCGCACAGATTTCTATGCATAACAAAATAATAAAAAATGATTGTATTAAAAACATTTTTTATTATTTACTTTACTACTTTTACTATTATTATTATTATTATTATAGTTTAGTTGTTTTCAGTTGGGGTTTAAAGTGAAATCTCTTTTTTTCATTTTTGATAGAGTAAGGAATGGCTGAAATCCCCATCAAGTGTTTTTTGTTGTTTCCCACTGGGGTGATTACAGGGATCCCAACCTGAAAGAATCAATTTCAGGGAGGTGCTCTTCTCATTTCAGGGAAGTACCCTCTGCCCCCCAATCCACAGGAGAGAGAGCACCCCACTGAAACGATGGCAGATAGCAAGGAAGCAATAGCTTCTTTGCTATCTGCAGGTTTTTTGTTTTTTTTTAGTATTTTGAAAGCTGTTGCCGTCACAATAATATTTTTTTTTAAACACCATAGGAATGCATAGCTAGATTCCTATTGGCTATTTCAATTTGCAATATTCAATAGCAAGCTGGCTATTGCACCTGCCCACTGCTGCTGTCAATCACTAGAAGGGGACCTGATGGAGAACTTCAGATCCCCCTCTGCTGATTGACAGCAGCAGTGGGTGAGTGCAATAGCTAGTTTGCTATTGGCTATTGCAAAGTGAAATAGCCAATAGGAATCTAGCTATGCATTCCTATGCTTTTTTTTTCTGACTGATGGCGGCCAGGCTTGTAGAGCTGATTTCAGCCGTACATCGGCTGAAATCAGCCATACAGCGGCTTGCTTCGGCTGGCTTCGGGTCGGCCAAACATGCTCATCATGGAGCTGGTGGATGTTAGAGACCTTGCGCTCCTCCACCTATCCTTATCAATGAATAAAATTGTTTTTAAAGCTTCGACTCCCATTGACTTCAATAGTTTAATTTTCGAACTTTAGCACAGTTTGGCAAGCAACCCGCAAACCGAAACCAGGCACATTCAGCTGATCACTAGTGATAAGCACTTTGTCTTATCTCTGAAGTATTTACTTTCTACAACATGACAAAATTAGAAAGCTATTTTATAACAGTAAATCTTTATAATTACCATGTATTGTATAGTTGATGGAACGTGAGATGTTATATTTGGTTTCATTGTGTGTAAGTGAAGTTACACATTTGTAGTATCCACTATCTTGTGGTGTCACGTTATCAATGTTCAGTTTATGGTTTGAAATAAAATATTTTGTCGTGTCAGTTGTCAGATCCAAGGGCATGCATTCCTGTATGGATATACAACAGCTGATTTTACAATTAAAAACAAAGGAAAACGGTTTAAATAATTACCAAGAAAAGGAAAAGTGAATGTAGCATCACATGACTACACGTACCAGTATAATAAAGAGATTAAGTAAGGCCGAATAAAGCAGTGGTGATGTGCAAAGTGTAGTAATCACGGCAAATAAGAAAATCCTTTCACAGTTTTTGGTACATAGTTTATGGTATAAAGTTTGCTGGCATCTGATTTGTTACTATTTCTTACTGCATTCTAGGTATTATAATAGACCACAACTCTCAGAGTAGGCTCACATAAAGGCTGAACTGGGTCGAGAGAACATAAATATACCCCTGCATTTACACATAGCACTAAGATTACCTTGCTTTACAAACCAGTACTCTTCAAGATGAACTCCAGGTATAACTTATTATGTATACATACATTGGTGCAGCTTACCCCAATGTATGTATGAATGCCATAACTGAGCAGCCTACAAGAATCCTGTAAAGCACTGAGACAGCTGGAGCTACTACGGTATTTTACAGCGATCTTCCAGCTCCTGGTACTACTCTTTGCTGAGGGGCTTACCCTTTGTTGTGAAAACAAAGGGGGTCATTCGCTCAGCACAGCGGCCATTCAGAGAATGTCTAGTATTCATATCAATGCTTAAAATACATTTTCTAATTGGACAAGGGGCAGATCGTGATGTCACTACCCCTCGTCCAATCCGAGAACGCCTTGTAAAAACATTAGGCATTCTCTGAACCGCTACCTAAAAACGATACTTTTACGTTCTTACATCAGCTTATTCCTCACAACTAATGCCTTTCGTTATCATTTGCCCCTACCTTTAGATTGTAAGCTCTCACAAGCAGGACCTTCCTAACCCTCCTGGATTGAAATGTATTTTAAACATACTGTCTCCCTCTTTTTCGTAAAGTGCTGCGTCAACTGGTGCAATATAAATCTTATATAATAAAAATATAAAAAATATTTTCAGGAGGTCAATGGCAGGTATATTTGTTTTACTAATACAGATGTTATCTAAATGTCACTAGTATTCGTTTTTGTGTCGTCGTCCCCCGGTAACATAGTTTTATTACCTCATTAACTGCCATTAGATATGTGATTTTTAAACTTTCCGTAACAAGCCAAGCTGTTTAGCAGTGACAGTTAAAGGGATTGTGATCAACTAGATTACAATAATTGGGTGTGTACAATGGCCAGCTGTTCATATGGTTTAAAAAACTTATGTATTTTTTTAAACAAAAACTGTCGCTCTGACTGAGAGGTGGGCAACTCCGGCCCTCCAGCTGTTGTGGAACTACAAGTCCTATGAGGCATTGCAGGCATGACTCACAGAGGTAAAGGCATGTTGGGATTTGTAGTTAAAGCACAGCTGGAGGACCGGAGTTGCAAACACCTGCTGTAACTGCTTAACATTGTCTGCTGGAGCTAGAATTTATTTAGCCTGTTGCCTGAAGTCAATTTAATAACTACATGTGCATCTAAAGGTGCCCATACACCTTACGACAATCGCAAGACTTTTGTCTTGCGATGGTAGTAAGCTTATTAAAAGCTCGTACGATCTGCCTATCTTGGACAGGCAGATCGTACTTGCGATCATCGAAAACCCGCCCTCGTAGGGGCGGGCTTCTGATGACCGCAGTGAGGGGCGGGCTTCGGATCACTGCAAACGGGCAGTGTGCCCGTGCGCACCCCGGCCCGTTCGGCAGTTGTCGAACAAGCAGGCCACTAACCTGCCGAGAAACATACGATTCTCGGCGGGTTTTCCAGCCTGCTTGTTCGACGGAAGACGTGCGACCGTACAGTAGAAACGGTCGCACGCCTTCCATACACTGTACGATTATCGTACGATCGCTGGATTTCCAGCGATTCTCGTACGAGAATCGTACAGTGTATGGGCACCTTAAGACTACCCTGTCCACAGTATGACAACCCTGCTGAGTAATTTAATGCCAAAATAAACAGCACTGTCACGCTGTGTACAAAAATAACAGATCTACCGGGAGGATCAATAGATAATTAAAATGTATTTCAGGGGGACTGCCTCATATATGTCATTTTTTGATCATAGTTACATTTTAAAGCAGAACACCAGGATTTTGAAAAGTTAACCCTTACAGTGGGGCTATTCCCGCATTGCAAGGGTTAACTGCTTGTTTTGTCTAGGGAGTGAAAATAAAGACAAAAAACTCACTCGATCCACAGTCCCACCTGGATGCTAGACCAGTCCCCGCAGCCTCATCTCCCCAAGCTCCGATGGTCTATGCACCCGTGACATCATCACATCTAATACATCCTATTAGACGTGAAGACAATGAGGTACATACAACAGCTGGATGGAAGAGGTAGAGAGGTCATCGGTCCATGCCGCAGGACCGAGGATCAGGTGAGTATTTCTTTTTTTATATATGCTTTATTTAAAATTTTTACATAAGAAAGACTTAAACTTACATAGATTACACAAAATAAAACCAAACAAAAATCCACCTGGAACAGCTTTCTGGTTCTTACATTTCATTAAATTAAGTACAATTAAATAAATGTGGTCAGAGGTGACTTACAATACAGGTTCTATTCTCATTTCATGATTTAATTCATATTCTATCTCCTTTCTTTGATGGTAGACCTTTTGAGCGATCATCTATTGCCTGCAGTCTAAGCCACAACCAATTCATCTCAGATGTGCCAGACAGCAACCATTCACACAATAGCCACACACCTCCCATCTCTCCCGCCCCCGCCACCCCTTCCCCATTCTTGGGATGAA